TACAAGTCACGATGACTATAAAACACCTACCATCTGGTTTAATCTTCCGTACATCGGGGATAAAGGCGAACGCATTACCAAAAGCTGCATACGAAAGTTACGCTCCTGCACTACAGAGAAAATTAAGTTCAGAGTTCGCTACAACACAACCAAACTCTGCTACTTCACGAACACTAAAGACCCTACACCCACATTAAATAAATCTAATGTTGTGTACGAGTTCTCTTGTCCCGGTTGCCGTTCGAAATACATAGGAAAAACTGATCGGACATTATATGAAAGAACTTTAGAACACAGTCACAAGAAAGACAGTGCCATCTTTTGTCATTTAGAAAACTGCAACAACTTTCAACATATATTAGATTTATTTTCCATCCATGATGTAGACAAGTTTGATGAGCGCCAATTTTATAAAAACATCGTGCAGAACAACACCTCCAGTCTGACTGGAGACAGTGGAATCTTTTATTGTATAAAGAAGCATTTTTCATCAAACAAAACAAACCATCCTTAAACACTGGCCTCCGCGCCTCTAGAGAATCAACTTTGTTTAATTAATTCATCTATCCAGTATATATTGTATTGTCTTTGCRYTTTTGTAAATTATTAGCCTGATGATGGTTTTGCAATAAAACCGATGTAATATTGCTCTCATGTAATCTCCTATTTTATTCGATGTTGAATATCAACTAGAATGAATATATTCGGTCTCTCATTCATCCTATTCTACCTAAAACTTATTAAGCTAATGTAATTAAGCGATTTTGGCTTTGAGAAGCAATTTCGCAAAAAGTTTGCATTAAAACCTCGCGTTTTTCAATTGATATCGTTTAGTCCAAAGTGAGGTAAAAAAACCGTGTGAGCGTTTTTGGATTTAGATTTTCGTCTTGAAGTTATGGCGTCAAATAACAAATTTCACATCAAGAATTCGTAATTTTAAATTCAAATGGCAATAACTTCGCAAATAAAAAAATATCAAAAATCCCTGAAATTCCCTGAAATTTCATATTCAGCGCGCCACTAATTTGCACTGTCTCCAATATTTGTCGCACGCTGACAAACAAACTACGTATATGAAGTACAGTAAAGTGCAGCATATATACATGTTATACACTTAACGAAAAAAAATCCATCTCTAGACAGCTAGATTTACACCGATAAAAGCCGAATCTTTCTAAGTATCCATTTCCAATAATTTCTGATTGTGTCTTTAAAGGACTAGCTAATTTTTGTGGTTATGTTTGTGTGTGCGTGGGGGGGAGGAGTTGGTGGGATACATATTAATCTCAAGGACAGAGGTATTTTAATTAGAATGAAGATTCGGTTAAACGTTGACGAAGTCTTAAAAACAATGATTGCACTATTGTGATAGCAATATTCATTTCCGTCTTCCAGAATTTAAAGCAAATCGCGTGGKCCTTCTTCCAGAARAACTGACACTTTCTTGACGGTKTGGCTCTGCGTCTTCACGGGGTGCAGCCATTGATATCCATGGTGCAGCTGATTCATTTTCTTCTTCGCTTTCGCTTGTGTCCCCGTCATTGTCGTCACCATTTGCCGGCCTTGTCAAGCGTATATCTTCGCAAGATGTTATGACAATCATGTACTCAATACATTGTTCTTCTTACTCCATACCAAGTTCCTCTGAATAGCCATCCACAAGATCCATAGCACATTGTGGTGAATTTCTGTTGTTTTTTCCAATTCTTTACGCTAGTGGGTTTTCTGTTTGGCAGAGCCAATGGAATTCAATCGTGTTTTTTACTAATTCCCACTTGATTTTTCCACCCGCACATCTTCGCTCAATATTCCTAGCCAATAAGGACAGCTCCCTCTTTTACGGTTGTGTCTATAATTGCCACTACATCTTCTTTCCTGTATTTCGTGTGGATATGCAAAAGAGGARTGCGCCTTTATYCTTCTGCAGACGCATCTTGAGTTAAACAGTCGTCGACGACGTTATCAATGGCTGTGGTCACGGTTAGTGAAGGCCCAAATCTCAACGCATAACGCAATGTRCCTACTAGCTCTTTTGTTTTGGAGCGGACGTTCTCCTGTCGTGTGCCTCTACCATATTCTAGCTCTTSTAAACYCYTTMAGTACTTYCTCCTCTTCTTTTGTTAGGTRTGGGACGCCTTCGGTTCTCTTTTTMTTTCGGAGTTCCAAATTTGGAGGCTCCCCACAAATGACTTTTTCTGGATAATGGGAGTTTGGTCCAGTGAAGTACGAAAAGTGCTTTTGTTAAATGCGAAGCATTGTCTTCCACGCAACGCGATCTTCTGTAGCCATATTTAGCGACAGTCGGCATGTCATGATCAGATCTCATGCCTTTTAAGAAACTTTCCAAAGATAAGGACTTYTCAAGCAAGAAGTCGCACTTGATTTCTCGAAAGAATTTAGACAAACGCGTAATTCAAGTGCCATTGAAAATGACTGTCTTGTAGCACGAGATATTCTATCTGGCCCATTGGTGTTCAGCCTTCCAGTCCTTTCGTAAGCAGCTTTTTCTAGGGAGCTTAAGAAACATCACGRGGTTCTCTGGGTCTGGAGAAGATACTCAAATCAGTGCAAGAATAAAACTATAGTAATAAATTCTCATGACGAACACTGTTTTGGCTGTTCATAACAACCYTCTCGTATCTGTTCTTGTTACAGTTATCGATGCAAAATGAGCATAATTATTTCTTAACAAACAGTCAATAACAAAAAGTTATTATTCTTAACAAACAGTTTCATACAGTTAAAAAGATTTGATTAATATTGAGGTCAATAAAGTATATTTAGTCCATAYATAAGGAAAGTATCACTGGAAAAAATCGCGCATTTTAAAGGTTGTAAATTTGATGGAAATGATTTACATCAAATTTACATCATTTTKGCGTCAAATTTACATCATTTTGCTGGACACTTACATCATAAATACATCAAATTTACAAACTTTAAAGCGCGCGATTTTTTCCAGTCTATTTTATACCGCCAGACAACAAAAAATAAAACAAAACGAAATTTGCATTAAATTATGACAAACTGCAATGTGGGAGCACACACTGAGGCACTAAATCATGTCTAAAACACACAGAAGGACTCGGCCCGATTTTCGCTTGTTTGTCAGCGTGACGATATGTAGTTTTTAGATTTCAATTTTTTTGCTGGATTCCAGATTCTGGATTCCAGGACAGGGATTCCGGATTCCAAGATAGAGATTCCGGATTCCAAGGTTTCACTTTTACTGGATTCCGGATTCTCTTACACGGGGCGACCAATATATATTGACCAATGTACCGTACAAACTTGAAAAAATAAATACTTTTTCGATTTAATGTTTTAAAAATATGGACTCGATTCTTGATTATTAATATGTAATAAATTACTTATTATTTTTACAAACCAATGTCATAGACGTTTAGATTATTGTGTTAGCTTCAAAACAATGTATAAAATGTGTAGGTATTATTTAATGAAGCCAAGATATGATTTTTTTACAGAGGCACCCCGCGAAGGGGAGCAGTAACCTTAAGGCTAATAACCGGTGAAAAAAATTACTATATATTAAAGTGTGATAGACACAAAAGGTAGCAATCCAATTAGAATGTACAAAAATGAATTACTCTAATATCTATTTCACTGGATTTTTGACTTCACTTTGGTAATGGTATTACATTTCGTAATACCATGATCACCTCGGATTCTTTTGTCTTCCGAGGGATGTTTATAAGCGAACATCCCTCCCTCATGAATAGCATGARGGACGATTACYAGTAATCGTCCCTCATGTAATTCATGAGGAATGGAAGGCAAAGGAAACCTTTGCTTCCTAGCAGGGACAACTGAATGTCCCTACAGCTGTCTTCTTTTTACCTCTGCAATGRACGGTCTSRYTATCGTCTCAGWCACACTGAAATGTGGGATGATTTTTGGGCCAAATTGACCGAGTAGCTYTGCTTCCGAGTCTCTACTTCGTACCGCTGAGCATGTGCACTTGACGAATTTCAACATTTGATAATGTTGATGAGCTTCTTGGCATTATACTTGCAAATATAAAAACTACTTTTCGGGGTTGAAGTTAAGGCTCGTTAACTTCAGCAATGAATAGAACTGCAAAGCAATTGTTTAAAAGTTCGTTGTGGGAAATCAGTGACAATGGTCGGATTACCAATATCATTTTGTACTGTTGTTCTGCGAAAACCTTTTCAATGACACAATAAAGTACTTGATTCTCTTAGAACAGTTCGTATCCATTCTTTTCATGTCACATTCCAATTCATGCATGAATTGTTTGTTGCAATGTTTATAATACCTCTGATTGAAAACATTGGAGCATGCAAAAAAACAAGAATCAACTTCAACTTCAAGTTTTTCCTCGGAAGTCATGGTATTACAAAGTAATAGCATGGCTTCCTCGGGAGATTAGGGATTAAATGTCCCCGAAACCGAGGGCAGATAAGTTGAAGTCCCGACGGCCTGCGGCCGTCAACTTATCTGCCCTCGGTTTCGGGGACATTTAATCCCTAATCTCCCGAGGAAGCCATGCTATTACATATAAATAGAAACTACTCTAAGGGCCTGATTACAAGCAGGCTGGCACAGTTCAACGCGTTGGTTTGTTTTCTTTTCTTTTCATTAGGGGACACAAAAAAAAAGAAATCAGCACACTCAACCGTGAAAGCACGCTGCATATATTCAGGTCCTCATAGTCTGACTTTAAGGACGCTTTTTATTTTCCCTTGCTTGGTTCTTKTAGCAGTCCAATGGTCATCGATAATCATTACCTCGTACAAAATTATTTGCTAGTCAAAATCATTGAGAACCAAATCTGTTTTGATTCCGAACAAAAGCTACATTGCAAAAACATTGTTTACTTTATGGAGCAGCAATAAGTCCATGGGGTATTGTCTATTGGCAGCTAATTGGCCGCTAAATGGAACTAGCTCCAAGTGAAGTGTAATCAATCCATTGCTCACTCTCGGCTCATTCAATATCGAGAAGCTTTTATTTTTAGCATGGCAGGCTGTTGCACTAGATCTCCTCACAAACAGGATGGATGGTGGGCTTGGTTGGTTTGTTTATGCGCTGTTATTTCTGTCACGGTTACCATAGGAATTTCAAACTGCTTTGCTGTTCCGTTGCCGGTTCTTCTGCTCAAATTCAAAGAAACAAAGCAAAGACTAGGTAAGTTTTACAAAGAAATGTTTTTGGGACATTAAAGTTAACTTTGAATCTGAATAGTAATCAAGTAAGAAGGCTGTRATTGGCACTTCAGTTAATGGAAGAMGTGACTCTCGAGTTTGACGCAAATAGTTTTTGGTCGACGCCATCATTATATGTCCAGGTATATGCTTGCAAAATTGGAGTCGTCATGAAAAAATGAATTCTCTTACTTTCCAACTGGTTCTATAATAATGAAGTATTTCGATGTTTGATGTGTTGTATTACTGTATTTCGCAAATACATCATCTTTTATCTCAAGGTTCAGTGATTACATATAGTTTTTTTAAAATCTTTGTTAATAAAGGTGAATAGAATGGACCATGTCGAGCGATTTAAGCCAGGTAGCACCGCTNAATCTCTGCGATGACTTTTGAGAAAATTGACTTGGAAGAGAAATGAAGGTGTTTTAATTTTGCATGGATTATCCAAATAGCTTCCATTTTTTGGCAAATTAATCTATAAATAAGAATTATCGATAATCACTTATACATCTGTGAAAATTTGAGTGCAATCGAATCGAAATTTGCGACGTAGTTTGAGTTTAAAAATACGCGCGAAACGCTATTTATTACGATCGAAACACCTTAATCCGTGCAACTGTACAAACTAAATAGTTTTTTAGTTGTATTTAGTAAATCGTGCATGCGGTACGCAAATAAAATTGATTTGATACAAATGAAGCATTCAATGCCGTCTTGCTTCAGGTCCACTTTTAGTAGACCTTTTTGCTTTATCGGTATTGTCGAAATCCGTGCACCCTAAGACAAAAAGTGATAATTATTTCAGTGCCCGTAGAACGTGGCTTTCTTTGTTAATATATTGCACCTCGCACTATACGGTGTTTTTTGTTGTTGTTGTTGGTGTTGAAAATTGTATTTTGGCTGCATTAATATGGCTTAGACATCAGAGAAGAGCTGGTTTGTCCACTATTTCAAATAAGCGTAGCAACAGATAGTGACGAAGTTCATCACATCATTTCCATTTTATGGTACATATTTTACGATGAGTTTTCTTAAAAGAAATCAAATACTCCAGTTTCGAGATCTTATATGTTCAGCCTTAACTTCGAAACTGGAGTATTCGATGGCCAAGTGGGCAACATTTAGGAATAGCTGGAATGCTTTTCCTAATGCAGTGGGTGCTGTAACATCCATCGTATATGGAGACCATCTGTGAGGCAAGCGACCTATTATCGTGGCGATAAGAAAACATGTTTCTTGGCTACCATCGTCATTGTTAACATATACGGGCTTCCTGTTTACGTACGGCAGGTACGCGGTATTTTGAATGAACAAAGTTCTAAAAACCTCGATTTTAAAAAACCTTGCATTTTTATTATTGTTCCAAAATGCATATTTAACGACATGTACGCTAGATTCCCGTGCCATTTCTTCGCATGGATTTTCGATTAGTTTTGTGTGCATACACCGTAAGCTTAAAGCGTCATCCCATCCACTTTTCCTTCATTTTTACCGAAATATATAATTTTTTAAAAGAAACTAAATCGATCATTTTCATATGGGACATATATTTACAATAATTGGAACCGATGTAGCCTAATTTGCGAATTCGCCTACCTCAATATTAAAATTTATTAATTAAAAAATATGTTGGTGCTTGTAAGAGGGTTTTCGTCACCCCATTTTTTTAAAATAAAGAATAAAAAATAACCGTCCATTATAAAGCTATAATAATAAAACTCAGGATAATAAATCCCAGAGCCAAGCCATAGACATCAAGCACATTTTGTTCTTCACAATATTAACGGTCGGCAGTGCCGAGCCGCATCAATATTTTCATAGAACCCAGTAAAATGCGCATTTGCGTAAAAATATTGCACTGAAAAAAAGCGCTTTGTTTTAGGGTTCACGGATTTAGAAAATACCGATAAAGCACAAAGGTTTAATACAAATTAATACTATTTAAATTCCTTGAGGAAGGAATATGCTTGCGCGCGGGGGGAACCCTAGATAAGCTTTCGAGTGAAGATGTGACCCTTCCGTAAAGCTTGCAAAATTGATATATGACCCTCCCCTCTCCCACTCCAGCCCTCTCCTCCCAATAATAAGCGTACCTTCCCATACTAGAAGTATTTTGGTGTAAGTCACAACAATAACAGAG